CATGGTGACATCCCAGTGCCGAGGGGAGAGACAGACACTGCAGGGACATCACCAGGGAGGGGAACAGCCCTTTCTGCCCCTGGCCATGCCAGCCTCCTCTTTGCACAGCGTCCCTGTGGTGGCACCGTGCTGGGGGTCCCCTGCCTGCTCCCGTTCCTGGCAGAAAGGCTGCCTGCGGTGGGGGTGCTGTCACCCCCAGCACTGCCTGGCTGTCAGTGCCGAGGGGAGAGACAGACACTGCAGGGACATCACCAGGGAGGGGAACAGCCCTTTCTGCCCCTGGCCATGCCAGCCTCCTCTTTGCACAGCGTCCCTGTGGTGGCACCGTGCTGGGGGTCCCCTGCCTGCTCCCGTTCCTGGCAGAAAGGCTGCCTGCGGTGGGGGTGCTGTCACCCCCAGCACTGCCTGGCTGTTCTCCGCCGAGGCCAAGGCCAGGAAGCTCATCCGGGACGCAGGTGAGGCGGAGGGGGCAGCGCCATGCAGGGAGTGGGCCAGGGTGGAGGGGGCAGGCAGCTTCCTCAGGTGTAGGGCTGGAGCCTCCAGACACTGGGGTTCCCTCCCTGTCCAGGAGAAAGAAGGTCCAGCGGGGCTGTATCCTGGGTTTTGGCTCTGGTGGGTGAGGGGGGGTTATTGGATTAGAAAGTGAGGCAGGACGTCTGCGTTCCTGGGAGAGGAGAGGGATGAGGATTGGTGGGTGGGTGGGTGGATGGATGGTTAGGTGGGTGCATGGGTGGATGAGAGGATGGATGGGTGGGTGGATGGGTGGATGAAAGGATGGGTGGGTGGATAAGTGAACAGCACATGGTGTGGGTGGCTCTGCTGGCCAGGGAATGACCCCACAAGTGGCCCTCACGCTCCATCCCTAGGGAATGAGTTTGTCCGCCACAACGCCTGGCAGCTGACACGCATCTACCCTAGTGGGATGCGGACTGACTCCTCCAACTACAGCCCCCAGGAGATGTGGAACGTGGGGTGCCAGATCGGTACGGCTGGAGGGCATTAGGGCTGCGAGCTGGGGAGATGTCCCCGGTCTTGTGCCAAATGGCACCATCAACACCCATGTTGGTGCCGGCCACAACCTTGGCTGGTGCCAGGTCTGGCTGCAGGCTCTTGCCCTGCACTGGGGAGCCCGGGGGTACCTGGGTATTGTCCCCCTGTGTGGCCCCACATCTCTCTGGCCATGGGGACAGGCTGGTTCTCACTTCCAAGCAGGGCACGGTCTCCAAGCTGCCCTGAACCCTTTCCAAAAAAGGCCCTGAACTTCCAGACAGCCGGCACGGAGATGGACCTGTGTGATGGGCTCTTCAGCCAGAATGGCCGCTGTGGCTATGTGCTCAAACCGCCCTTTATGAGGGACGAGGAGACTGTCTTCAACCCCAGTGACCCTGGCAGCTGGGAGGGCCCTGGCCCCATCACCCTGACGATCCAGGTATGGGGCTGAAGAGAGACCCTGGGGAGCCGTGACAGTGTCCTGGGGCTGTTGGTCCCAGCTGGGTGGGGACACTGCTGGGCAGCATGCCAGAGCCGAGCAGCCTCCCAGCAGATCCGTTTAGCTGTTCCCCGGCTCACGGGGTCACTGCCCATTCCCACAGGTGATCAGCGGGCAGCAGCTGCCCAAAGTGGCCAACAGCAAGGATGGAGCCGTCATCGACCCGCTGGTGCGCGTGGAGATCCACGGGGTCCCCGCAGACCAGGCGCACCAGGAGACCAAGTACATCGAGAACAACGGTGAGCCCCACGGTGGTATCAGGGACCCCACTGAGCCTAGGCGGCCATCCCTGCCCTCCCTCGCCTTCCCAGCACCCGCTCTCTCTTCCCAGGGTTTAACCCCCGCTGGGATGAGACGCTCCAGTTCCAGCTCCACGTCCCCGAGCTGGCCCTCGTCCGCTTCGTGGTGG